GTGTTGAATCCCATCCTATTCTCATCTGCCCACCCCTGTAACCTGTCTAGGTCCGATTGCAGCCTATTCCTCCCTTCTAGCATGCCCACATCCCCCCACATCTTAATGTCGTCAGCAAATTTGAACAGGGTGCTTTTTACCCCCTCGTCCAAGTCACTGATGAAGATGTTGAACAGTGCAGGCCCGAGGACTGAGCCCTGGGGGACCCCACTGCCCACATCCCTCTGGGTCAAAAATGACCCATCCACCACCACTCTCTGGGTGCGGCCCTCCAGCCAGTTGGTGACCCATTTGACTGTGTAGGTGTCGACACCACAGTCCCCCAGTTTCTTAATGAGAATGGGGTGAGAGACAGTCCTTATTCATCCCTTTCCGTCAGAAAAACAAGGCTGACTAATGTCCTCAACAGACTCACTGTAGTTATAGCTCTTCATTAAGATACTGACTATAATCAGATGTCATGCTTTAGGGCTTCAGCCTCCACCTGCAGGGGTAAGGAAACATTTTTGTTTCTGATGCACAATTAGCCAGATGTATTCCAAAGGGAGAATGCTCTTCTGAACAGTCTGAGATGGGCCATAGCTCAGATAGATCATTCAGATTAGTTTGTGTAATACACAATTGTGAATTCACAAGTGCTACACTGAATAGGCTTCTGAGCATTTGAACAATTTAACTGTAGACAGTAACTAGACTGGGTAAAGACATTGTTCCTACGAAGTTATCCGAGACAGTGAATCTGAACTGTACTTATATCACTTAATGCTTACTTCTATAGCTGCTTAATAGTACGAATAAAAGTTCTGCTAGCTGCGGTGGCATCATTGACACCATAGCTCTGAATCTACCTGATAACAGTCATATCTGAACTGGAAAAAACATCTTAACTAATGGGTGGAGCTTGAATGCCAGGATCAACTTTCCCTTTAATTTCTATTGGACATTCACTGAATTGAAAAGTGATATCAAGGAGACCAAAACACAGAATAGATTTGCACTAAATGATCCTAGCCTTGTACCCCAGACTTCAGGAGATGGCTCTGGAGACTGTAAAGGCTATGCTTCAAGGCCTGATTCATCAGGAAACCAGAATCCTGGTATCCTTGGGACTGTTCACACTCTCCAGTTTTTCCAGTTCCATTCTGGGTTTTTTGTCAAAATTCCTGGAACTCTCCATAGATGGAACTCTGGTTTTCTTTTAACCAGGCAGACCAATGTGAACTTAATGGACACCTGTAGTTTATTAAAAGCAAATGATGTGAAAGAGAGAGAACAAAATAAACTATTAATAATGTTCAAGAGCTTTGCAACTTGTGCAGCTTTAAATCATGAAAACAACAAGTCTTCTGAATGAAAGCCAGTTCCAGTAAGATAAACTGCGGTGGAGGATCAACTATTAATCCCATTACCTTTGCTTCAAGGTTGTATGGATGCCACCTGATTTGTTTTGGACTAGGGGGAGTTGTAGTCTGGTAAAAAAAAACAGGAAGAAAGGATTAGTGTTGTGTTTCTATGTAAGATTAAACAGCATCATTTTTCTTGAAGGTATTGAGGTGCTGAAGGAAGGGTACATGAGATTATTTTTCTTTAAAATGAGATTGGGCTCAGTTGTCAAAGGCTGGTATGAAGTTTTTGTTCAGAGATGTCTCCGCAAATCTTCATAGTTATTTTCATGTCAATATTCATAAAGAAGATATTGATATGATGTTTAAATCATTTTTAAATTGAAGGTGTTAATTTCTTTTTCATTACAGTAGATGCACAGACTTGGCCCTCTGCTGAAATATCCATCAACAGCTTAGATACATAGCTGAAACTGACAAGACAACCTAACAAACTATTTACACAGTTTTCAGATTCCAGTTGGCAGGATATCAAGTCCCAGGCTCAAGCCCAACTTCTTCAAATGGGAAAACCTATTTCATTCTGAAAGAAGAGATGAAACCCTTTGGGACAGAAGGGCCTCCAAATTCCTCCACAGAGGAAACAAAATAGGCCAAAATACTGTAAAGATTATGTAAGCCAGTGAAGTGGAAGGTATAAAGAGAAAATGGGGGAGAATACTTTCAGACAAAGAAAAACACATCACATGGAGCTCAATTATCCCTCCAGGAAAAGCACCTGCCATCTATTTTGGAAATATTACACTACAACTCTCTTAAAATTTACTCAAAAATGAGGATATGTTGGGTGGAGCCCCTTGTTATGTATTCCACCCTAATAGCAGTTCAAGTTAGGATTAACAAATGTCCTATTTTGCATTTAAAGACATTTCTTCCACTCTCTCAGCTTCAGACATTTCTTCTACTCCCTCAGGTTCAGCCACTACCTCTACCTTGTCCCCCACCCTCTCCAAAGCCCTTCTGATATCGTTTCTTGGATGTCTAGTGAATGTTGGTTTCACATGTTAAATAATGCTGGGAAGTGGAAGCATGAGTGATGGAAAGGTATGCTATTTAAAATGAACTGGACCTGTCTTCAAAAACTTGGTTTTCTGTTACTCCCCTTTCCCCCCTCTTTCCTGTCCCGCCTCTCCTCTCAGATACTCCATTTGAGTATTAAAAGTGAGTGTTGGACACCTGATGCCCAGTTTTCCCTGGTCAGTCATGTTGATGGGGATTTAGCTATGCCATTTAGCCAGCAAAAAGAAAGCATTTTCATGTGCAAGGGTACCAAAAAATGTTGGGTTCATACCCAGGGTACCTTTTTCACAGGTTATATAGTAGGAGTTATGGTATCTTACGTCACAAACAGTATCTCTTCAGATGGTTTTTTGCTCTGGGTGGGACATTAATCCAGTTCTGATTCAGGAGCAACTGCTAGCTATTTTCTCCCACTGACTTTTTCTATTTTACTTCAGAGAAACATTTAACAAGCTAGGACTGCCATTAAGCAAGTTTAACTGACATGGTTTGTTCTGTGTGTCCAATTTGGTGCCTACTGATCAAAATATTCTCAGTATCACAGCTCAGGTTCCATTCTCCCCCAGCCTGTTGAAAACATCAAGTCTCTTTTCAAATTAGTTGGCTACATGCAGTGCCAAACCAGATTGTTATGGGCGATGTCCTCCTATTACAGGGTTTGCCTATTAACGAAGCTTACTGTAGCAAAATATAAACATTTAAGAAGATTACCACTTATCCAGGATCTGTCAGAGCACTTCTAAAGCTGGCAGTTGCAGTGCCCAGGTCTTAGCAATTTCTAATCCATTTCTCTAACTACTGCTGTTTACACCTTCTATTTGGAAGACTTGTAGGGTTTAATCATGCATTTCAATAACTGGGTTGCATATGGGAACAGATTTGAGAAGCAGATAGGTTTTACCCAAAAGTCCAAACTTCAAGGGAAGTTCCATATGAGATTCTTTTATCCAGATTAAGAAAATCAGGAGTCTGTTTGTACAGTTAAATCACAAACACTGTAAAATATATAGAAAAATGAAAAGGTCAGTTGAAATTCTCCTTTTTCTTTTAGCACCTCATCCACACACTTTCAGAAATCAATTTCTCTGATTGAACAACATTCAGATTTTCTCTTACTTTTGTCAGGCTCAAATTTGTTGCAGGTTCTTGTTATTTAAGTATCACAACCTGGTTTCCTATTTTTCCTCACCATTCAGAGAAATTCCAGACCTGCACTGGGAACAGGCAGTAGCATAACTAGGATGGGGGCAACTGGGCACCAGCCCCTGCCACTGACTATTGAGGGAGTCACCCCCTGACCCCAGGAATCTTTGCCACAGTGTACACCACCCTGTGCCACTCTTGTCCAGACACAGGAGCCAGACAGAGAAGTGCCACACCCAGCAGTCTACCTGGAAGTTAAGGGATGAACAAAATCATGCTCCCCCCAGTGCCCAGGGCATCTTTGCTGCACTAGGCACAGCCCTATACCTTGTAACATATTTGAAGGCAAGGGGAGCAAGTGGGGCATGGGGATGGATCTTAGGAGCCCAGCCTTTGGGCTGCGTCCACCTGAGCCAATGCTGCTATAGCAGCAGCGGCGGCGGCCTTCATTCCATGGAGAGCAGCAGCAGGTAAGACTTCACTCCTTCTCCCTTCTGTTCTCCCTCTTGCCTCCCCACTCTCCAGTGGTCAGCATACCCCACAAGCCCTCATCCCTGGTGCAGGCACAGAAGGAGCTCATTATACCTCTGTGAGCACATCCACAAGTTGTCAATCTTATTTTTGTAATAAGAATGAGTGAAACTAGAAATGTTTTCTGGGCTTTTGGAAGAAGAATTTTGTGTGAAGAATATCAGCCATGAACTAGACAGACAGAGGATCCAACAATATTTGAAACAATAGGCAGAACAGGTTTGTCTAAAAATTAATTATTACACTGTAAGGTACAACCATCTAAAAGGCATACATAACATATACCTAAGAAACACCCAAGAGAAGGTGATGGAAAAGTCTTAACCAAGGAAAGTAAACATGGAAGTTAAACACAAGGACACTGCTGACAAATATGAGAAAGGCTACTGAAAATTTTAGAAAAATCTAAATTCCAAGGGTTATCTTTTCAAAGCATTGTGCAGGCAATTAGCCATGTGACTTACCCTGTAGCCAACAGAAATCAAAAGACTAAAACTTGCAAAGCGTTTTGAAGATTTCCATTGAAGGGGACTCTGCTCATTATGTGAAAGTAGTTATTGTATTTCATTAAACCCTGTAAACTTTGTAGTTCTCATTCTTTTTTCTTTAGTCTGTTAAACAGCATTTGCTCTTCTATAGACTGTGCACTATATAAATGCCTCTTTCTATTTATTCTTTGCAGAAGCTGACAAAAGAACACCAAACTTGGTGGGCCAAATTCAGCCGTGGGCAAGCCCACTGATTTCAGGGACAGCAGATCCAGTACAGAATGTTTTCAAATTCAGCAGCCCACACTTCAAAGGGCTTACACAATAGGAATATTTAGTTCCTCCTGTTCTTTGGTGTGCTTTGGAAGACCTGCATGGATCCAAGAGTATAGACTGAAATATCTGCAGACATTATCATTTAGAAAATCAGCAATGCTGCTTGTTTGGACCTCATAATGCTCTAATCACTTGGGAACTGTGGATCAAGGAACTGTTTCAGCTAGCAGCAGCAGAAATAAAGCAGCAGGATCAGCACCCTGCCATAGTGGTTAGGTCACTCAGCCAAGAGGGAAGAAATCTAAGTTTTGGTTCCTGTTCCCAGGACTATTAATGCATATTACATTAGACAGTCGTTGGCTCAAAAACAGATAAATCCTATGAGCTGAGACCAGAACCCAAGATTCTCTACTCCCAGCTGAGTGCCCTAAATATCAAGTTACAAACTTAGGCTTCTTTTTTCACTTGTCTCTTTCTGGTCGTGTGACTTTTGTTTCCCTTTCTGTATGGTGACACCATTCTGCTATTCTATTACTTGGTAGTCAGGGTACTCTCCTGGGAAGTAAGGAGAGCTAGGTTTGAATCCTCTCATGGTGAGAAGGACCTAGAACTCAGATCTCCCACATCCTGGGGGAGTGTCCTAACCACTAGGGTAATATATAAGCAATACCTTGGAACATGCCAGCTCTTAGCTTTCACTCATTTTTCACTACCAAAAAACAAAACAAAACAAAAAGAACAATTCTTCTGTTGCAAAGAACTCGGAAAGACCACAACAGGGCAGAATGTTTTTCCTATTTGAAATCTCTGGATTTATCTTGTGAAAATTTGCATACCTAACAGTGCTAACATTGTGTGACACCCTGTAATACTGTTGAAAGAATCTCAACAACCACAGCACCCTGGTTTAGAATTACTGATATAAAGACTGGGTGTGAACTTTACCTTGTCTTCTTCCTTCGAGAATGCTTTTGAGTTAAAAGTCATTATGCCTCCTGTATTTTGTGGTGAACTCTATGCTCTCATTGTCCACTAGGCAGGCTGAACAGACTGGGCTTCTCATGGACTTTGGCAGAGTTGAGAATGGTACACGAGTGGGAGCTTGGTGCCAAGGTGCTCAGACTGGGGAAAATTTATGCACATGCAAGATCCCAGGGTCACACACCTTGGGATCCTGAAAGTCTACAATGGAGGTGTTGAATGCATTTCAGTTTGCAGTTACTCAAGTAGGGGCATTCTGGATTAGTCTGTGCAGCTTAGATGTAGTAATTTAGGTACCTAGATGATGAATCTGGTTTTGACCCTGTGCGCTTAATTTTAGACACTGACTAGGAGGTGGATGTTACATATGGAAACATTATTTAAATAAGTCTGCCCCATACAGGAGATATGTTTGACATGTGTATTTACCTGTGAAGCCTGCACGGCTAGTGCAATACCTGTGGTATCCAACATGCATATAACAGCATACTGTATTAGTAAAATCAAATTCCAAGTAATCAGAGCTAGGTACAGACATACAAAAAGCCCAACAAGGAATCGATTTAATTTATGCCATTTTCTGTAAGCAGTATAGTTTAGATCAGTAGTTAACAGAACACACATTCACCCTTCGGTGGGGGTGCAAATTTTAGACCAGGTTCTGCCATTTTTAAATCAGTCTACATGTGCTGAACTTCTGTTGTGTTACAGATATAGACTAGTTTTGTGTGCCAAACTTCTGCCTGTTACAGAACTACTTATACAGGTAAAAGTGTAATGTCTGTACCTGGCCCAGGAATATGGGCTAAAATGTCTGCAGAGATTATCACTAAGAAAATCCTATAGGATCCTATATCCTCCCCCAAAGGTTGTTGTTTGGCAAAGCTTTCACCTGAACATCCCAGTCAAGAGAACTAAAGGAAATATCTGGCAAAGTGGGAAAATAAGTACAGAATCTTTTTTTAACCCCTAAGCCATAAAATATGCTCTAGGGTCTAAATAATGAGACAAACGTTGTACTCTCTTCGTTCTTATGCATGAATCCTAAAAAGCAAGAATTTAGCCTTTGAGGTTTGAAGGAAGTGTTATTTTATGTTCCTTTGCAGCATTCATAATTCAATTATAAATGTGCTGTAGGCTTCAGAGCAATTCAAAGGTGAGAAATGAGAGGGAATCTGTATTGCATTGAAATGATAAGACATGGCAGACTTTCTTAGGCAATCAAATTCATGCAGCTGTGGCTTTATAACAATTAGACACACCTGTAAGATCAACTCCAGATGCCAAGAAAATCTTCCCAGGACTGAAACAATAAACATTCTGACATCATGTTCATCAATTTGTTTTTAAAATGCAAATGCCTGAACAGAAAGATATTACTCTGATAAAAATTCCACCATCTGAACCATAAAATCAAGTGTTTTCTATAGGTTGCTCCTCTGGACAGCTGGGAAAACATAGTCCACTGCAGAAAAAAATGTTTCTTTGAACACTTAAAAGTGTCTTGCAGTGCAGGAATTGAATTTACAGATGTCATGAGTTATGTTAGTATGATAAAATTGTTGCAATCAAAACCACTGCCCAAGAGTTATAAATAGAAATTCATTTGAAAAGAAAAAAAAAATTCAGAAAAACCTCACACATTTCCCTTTCCAGAACCATTTCTGAAGCTAGATTTCACACTGGACCGTATTACCTAACAGGCTAAAACAAACAGAGTCTGAAAACCTGAGTACTGGGAAATCAATGTAAATTCAGCAGCTCAAATTCTTTTTTTTTCAGTCAGTCAAGATGAACAGCTCATAAAACTAAACAGAATAATATGCCATAATGAGACTTATACAAAAATGGGGTTTCACTGGTGAAGAAACTTATTGGACAGACACTTGCCATGCATTCCTTCCCTCTCCAAAGGTTGGATTCAGAACCAGACAACAGGGGCCGGACAAATGCAGATGACCCGTAGTTCACGAACTAATCATTTTTCTGAGATAGTACCATCCTTATGGGGTTTCTCTAGAATTAGATTTGCAGTCCAGCCAACTTCAAGTTCCAATTTCGGAGATCAGATTTGGTTTTTCATAGATTTTACCCAAAACTGTCAAAGTATGAAAACCATTAAATGAAAGAATAAAAGAAAGAAAAAATAATAATTTTAAATAACTGAATTTAGAACTATAAAATTAGATGCATTGTATAATAAATAAATAAGACATAAGGGCTACAGTGTATTATAGTAATATATGCTGAAAGGTCAATTAACAAACACTATATTTATGCAGAACATAAATATGATATGTAAGCAAGCAGACAGATAGTGTCTCAAGGTCATTGAAAGTGCCTTCCAACAACATTAATATAAAAGTGACAACAGAGATGGTATGACATTTTAGCTAAACAAGTGCTTTGTATGAGCCTAGCTGAATAAACTGTTTTTCAAAAGGTACTTAAATGGGGTAATGGTCCTGTAATAAAAAAGGCTAATAACATTTTTTTCCATACCCAGAGCTTCATTATCCACTCTGCAATCCTTGCTCTGTTTCCCCATTTTTCCCCAGAGGAAAATGGTATATAGTTTAGTCAGTCACTGTTCAATCTAAAGAAGAGGCTTATAAAATGTAAAGAGATTATTTGGCATTAATTCATACTGTGGGGATTACAGCATTGACAGAATACATAAGGGTAATAAACTCAAAAGCTTTTTCTGGACAATAACAACACCATTACCTTTATTGGTTGAATGGCTGTCTTACTTGCAAGTAATAGCACAGATATTATGCAGTGATAATAGGAATAAAGAAGAATGTGTCACTGGAGTTATATAAAATACTCTGTACTGATTGTGCACTACTAAATTACTAACTCTTGTTCTATTCACAAAAAAAGCAATTTGTCCAGAAAGAGCTGTCAAAACATTTATTGCCCATGTATATGAACATACAACTTTGAAGTCAAAAGGGATTTCACACATTATCTGTTACACATACACACACAATTACTTAAGAAAAATAGTAAAGCATGATTCAAACTTGTGAATCCTCTAACAATATGTATTCAGCATGGACCCAACCCATTACTCCTTACTCATGTGAACAGTGATGGAGAATTTGGACTCCGTGTAAGCATGTATGTAACCCTATACTTCCTGCTACCTAAAGAAATGCAACTCAGATGCAAAATACCTAAATCAAATGTTGTAAGACTGAGGTAGTCCCATAGAAATTCTTATGATATGCTTGCAACGAGCAAAATTATCCATTATTGTTGTGCCATTACCTAGGCTTCTTTTTAATTTATCCCCTTCTGATTGTGTAGTGTTCCAAGTGAACCACACATAACATATCTAAAGTCCATCTATGATCATAGGAAAGTAGGGATTGAAGGCACCTCAGCAGGTCATCTAGTCTACCCCCTGTGCAAGGTAGGAGTATCCCTGACTAAAGCACCCCAATCAAGTGTCAGACTAACCCATTTCTTGAAAATTTCCAAGGATGGAGGTTCTACAGTTTCTTTAGGTAGCCTTTCTCACTCTCATAGAAGAGGGCACCAGGCAACGTAGGGCCCCTGCAAGACTCAAGTGGTAACCTTGTAGCTATGCCAGATGAGAAAGCTGATATTTTTAACAGTTTCTTTGCCTCTGTTTTCATGAACAGGGACCGGGACATCCCTCCTACCAGATGTAGGGACAGTCTCGGGGATAGCTCTGTCAGGCCTTGGGTCAGCGCAGGTGTAGTTAGGGAAGGGCTGGACATTTTTAAATCTGTAGCTCCAGATGCCCTCCACTCAAGGGTGTTGAGGGAGCTGGCAGGGGTCATCGCGGA